GCCAATACGACTGGTTCCAGCAACGTCGCAGGAGTTGCCAGAACGACACAAACTGCCTTCAGGACTCCAGCTCTGGATTTTGCCTTGAGGTTAACTCCTGAAGCCTTTTCCTTGAACAGCAGATAAAGTGGGGGGGGGGATTACCATGGCATGCCACTAAGGGGGCTGGATATTTTACAGGTTAATACTGCTTTGCCCTCATGCCTTTTTGCACAATTAATGTACAATTATTTCCCATTGTTGTGCAAAGTCCACCCCTCATTTCAGAGTATTCAAAGCATGTTGTTTCAAACCTGAAAAATGCAGTGGTTGCTTTTGGATCTATTGTGATAGCTTTTATTTGGGGGGGGGGAATTGGAAATGAACCCCCAACTGTACTTGCAGCATTAAAACTTACACAGAGGACAACTGTTTTACAGAATGGGGTTGCGTTTGTGTTAGGATTTAATGACGCACAATGTAATTCTTCTCCATCCTCCCCACCAGCTGAGGTACTTTTCTGATATTAAAACACGGTAGAGGAAATGGCTGCTTTCACAAATTGTGGTAAACCACAGTTTAGTGTGGTGTGCAGAAGTAGGAGAAAAACAGCAGCAAGCCGCCTCCTCTGTGGTCAAGAAGAGACGTTTGGAAGCTTTGGGGCTTACTGTGGGTTGTCCTCTCTTGCAGTGAAGAACTTTGTTTAGCATTCACTATGGTTAATTCGCTTTAAAAAAAACAACAACTCCTGCTTCAAACTATAGTTTTCCTATTCTTGAGATGTTGAGACTTTCTCGTTCTTCACTTGTGTACAAGATGGCAAAATGTTACGAATTGAAAGCAGGTACAAAAGCTTTTGAAGTCATTACGGGGTGGTGCACAAACTCAGGTCTTGCTAAACGTCATTTTTTACTAATGTAGATTCCCCCCCCGAAGCACAGTTCTGGCAACTGTGTTCCTTCAAAACTTGGCTTTCAACTCCCGGCATCTGTGCCCATCAGCTGTGCTGGGCGGAAACTCCAGAATTTCAGAGGTTATCATCACCCGCCCTTGGTTTGGTGTGTAAGGTTGACCCAACTTTGGAGTACCTCTGCTCAGCACTGCCCCAACTAGCTTGATTTTAAGTGGCAAACTAAATAGATATCCCATTCCTGGAGATGTGCCTACAGTGTTGTCACTTTAGAGGCCAAAACAAGATTACGGTTTCCTCTCTATGATTTGTGTAGCGGTACAAGGAGTTTGGTAAGGGAATGTGTGAAGGGAGAGCACCTTTTGGGGGTGGGTACTGTTTCATAAAAGCATATTTAACATACCAGAATGTGCATCTGACTGGCAGCTTCAGAGACTCACTGTAGACACAGGGTTTAATACGCTGGAGGCAGTATTGTTCCAAGAAGACTTTACTCTGCATCAGCTTAGGTGAATTACTGGGAAGAATGTGGGTGAAAATCCTTTGAGCTGGACGTTGTGACCGCTGACTGTCAGCAAAGCCTCTAGCTCTTATGTCTTTTATCTTCCTGCGTCCTTTGCCAAAGGATCAAAGGGCAAGGTCTGTTGATGTGTTACTCTGCATGCCACACTGAGCAATTTCAGCAACGTGGAGAGGGGGGATTTGCTGCTTGGGTAACAGGCTATCCTCCATACTACTTTACCCAGGCTTCATGCTCTGGAGAGGACACTTCTTGATACAGAGCATGTTACCATAGTCTCTCGAGACTGAAGGATGTCTATGATGATGATGACTGAGGAATTATATATTTTCAGTAAATGAGTCCCTTAAATCACAACCGGGATGCCATCAAATAGCACCGTTGTCAAGTTGTTTGTCATTTGTATATCAGCTTTCTTAAAATGAATCTCCACTACATGGTGCTGTGCTGCCCATGTGGTGAACTCCTCTTGATTATACTTCTTCAGAAGCAAGGCACGATGGAGGATTGTTCGAATAGAGACTGGAAATCTCTGTCTTATGGATGACAGTGCATGGCAGTCACAAATTTATGTAAGATTTAAGTTGTGTCCACTGTGGATTATTTGGTTCAGCCCCAGTGGGTGGGGAAATCTTAGGAAGGAACCGTGATTCAGGATTCGAGTTGAGAAAGAATGAGAGCACTGGGGAAGTCAGAGCCTGAAGGATTCCCTGGAGGATGATGAAGTCTTTTGTCGTAAAGGCTTCTGGGAGTTTTAGTCCAAGAAAATCTGGGGATCCAGCATTGGGAACCATTGTTTTAGGGCTTTAGAGACTGTATACTTGGAGCTTATTCCTTTAAGTTGTGGATTGCTTACCTTTTGACTTCAAAGAGAATGTTGCATCCTTCCGTGTTTCTTCGAGCAACTCCTGCTCTATGTATTCTCGAAGGCTTTCACGGCCAGGATCTGATGGTTGTTGTGGGTTTTTCAGGCTCTTTGGCCGTGTCTGTGGAAGAACAACCTTCAGAACACGGCCAAAGAGCCCGAAAAACACACAATAACCAAGTCCCGCTCTGTTGCTGGTGGAAAAAGCTCAGAGTGTAAAAATTGTAGCATCCATTTTGGCACAGTGTGAATATCCTGGAAGCACCACTTTTTGGTTTCACAATGTACACCTGGAGCCTTTTTAATGGTGAAACATATCTGGCTGGCTGCTTATAAAGGCAGAATATGGCAAAATCCCCTTTTTGTGCTGTCTTTGGGATCGCTAAACCCTGCTGCAAATATGTTCACGTTTTCACACAGATCGCGACAGGCTGATATTAAGGAACAACAAGCCTGTTTCTGAGAACACTGGCTGCTGGCAATACAGTATGCTCGTGTAATGGGGCAGAGGTGGGGAAATGGCTGCAGAAATAGAACAAGGTTGGTACGGGTAGAATGAACAAATATCCATCCTTGGCCCTTAGCATGGGGTTTGCTTTGTGTGCTGGTAAATCTGGTACAGTATTAGAAGATGGCACATGTACTCTGGCTGCAGAAACAGAACAAGGTTGGTTCGGGTGGAATGAACAAATATCCGTCCTTGGCCCTTAGCATGGGGGTTGCTTTGTGTGCTGGTAAATCTGGTACAGTATTAGAAGATGGCACATGTACTCCAAATAGGGACACTTGGTACAGAGAAAGCAGTAATGACCTTCTTCTTCTTCTTCTTCTTCTTCTTCTTCTTCTTCTTCTTCTTCTTCTTCTTCTAAATATGCAGTTGGATTAAGTAGCATCCTGTAGCTTCTAACTTCTTGCCGTTGGCGTGTACCTCTGGTAGTGGACATAACCCCCTACCCTTTCCTGTGGCCTTTGAAGCTGGGGCGGAAAGACTGCCATTGATTCTAGCGCTCATTTTGAGTCAGGACCAAGTATGGTAGCAAGTCTGCTTGTATTTCCCTAATGTTTATTTGGCTCCCTGAATCTTTGGCTAGGAAATGCATAGTATTGCTGCTGTACAATTCAAAAGATATTTAATAATGCAAACTTCCCTTAGCAGAATAAAATCAATGGAAGGAAAATCAGCCTGGCTCAGTCATGAACTGAAGGTGGTTTTTTTTTAAAGGGCAGAACTAAACTTTGTTCTGAGTAAGCATACATAGGATTGTGCTCTTATTATAACTTGTTGAAGGTTTTTTTTTAAAGGGGCAGAACTAAACTTTGTTCTGTTAGGCACACAGACAATCATCTTGAAGACAGTAGAACGTGAGCCCTATAGAACACGTTGAACTTAGTTCTGAGTACATAGGATTGTGCTCTTATTATAACTTGCCTTTGTTTATGTACATCACCCTCTTTTACAAAATGGACATGTCCTCTACCTTTTTTTGACATACACAGTTCTTGTAAACAAATGGCATCATCTTTGCAAACTGTGGTTCGAAAAATGCTCTACATGTAGAGATAGTTACGCTATTTGGGAGTCAGTATTTCAGAATAATTTGGTACAATCCTACAGCCTTTGCTCAGTCAACATGTCAGTATATTAGTAATAACATTTGTCCAGCTGTTTGCGCCATCAGTTCAATTGCACACGTCTCCCTGTGAGCGGAAAACAGAAGCTCTGAAGAAACATATTTTGTTTCTTGCATGGTAGGTCCAGTTTCTTTAGAAAAGATGCTCATTCTGTGTCACACAGAAGAGAATGCTTCTTGTAAAACAGCTTTTGCCATTTGCAGTGTTTATATGTTCTGGTATTAAACATAATCAGAATCTGTTGGCTGATTAATTGGAGGCAGCTTTTTAGACGGTTCATGGACTTAATCCTTTAAGAAATGGCATACCTTCAGACTAACAGATATATGATTTTTCTACCTGCTGTTTACTGTGAGATCTTCATATTTCACAGAAGGAACCTAGATAAATGGTGCATATGGATTCATGTTATTTCACAGCATATGTTGTTATCAGCTTGGTGGGAACCGGTGCCCCTCTCCCCTCCCCCGCCCACATTACCATGAAGCTGTTTACAAGGTTTAGGTTAATTGGATTTCTTAACTACTTCCCAGGGCAGACGTACAGAATGGATGGAGTTCAAGAAGCAGAATGCAGCCTGGATACAAACAGGAGGAAGCGGCTTTACTTAATAATCGGCTAAACACAAAGTGATGGCGCGGGTGGGGAGAGGATGAGGTGGTCTTGGTTGGTATAAAGTAGGTCTCGTAACTGTCTTTTTCTCTTTTTTTAATGCACCGCTGTGTCAGCATCGAGATTTGTCCTTATATATAATAAGGTCTTTTTGCCTCATCATCTAGAGATAAGGATCAGTTTCAAGATGAGAGGCTTTGAAACGGCCGGGACTTTTCGTGTAAGGCTTTCTGAGGTGAAGCTCATGAGTGCGGGCTTACGATGTATTGTGCAGTTTGCTTCAGCAGATGGAGAGGATGGGAAGCTCCTCTCTCCACCTGCTTCTCTGCCTTTGCTCCTTTTTTTTAATGGCACAACATTGCACCCTCCAGGAGTGACGCGTAACTGCAGTGCTCAGCCTGACATGTCTTGTTCTTGATCTTGGGTGGACACCACGCTATCATTCCTATTCAGTCCTCTTTCTCTTTTCTGTTGTTTTCCAGGCTTCTGAAGGCTCAGAGAAGCTCTTCTCACCTGCCGCAACTAAAGGTAAGGCCACTTGGAAGATACACAACAGCCGTGACATTTTTGTTGAGCTTGCTTGTCCATCTGAAAACATCCAGTGGTGGGGTGGGGAGACCTACAAGATGTTTCACTTGTCCAACATTCAGTGGTATGGGGACCTCTGCTGCGTTGGGTTACATGGCCAATGGCACTCTGACACACTGACCCGCAAAACCTAGAATATCAAAAGGAACAGGAAAGGATCTGTTTTCTTTGTGCCCATTAATAATAATTTTGCCTCCATTGGGACCTCCCAAGGAGTGGCTCAGGAAAGATATTCTTCAAGTCCTTCTGAGAGCAATAACATTTCCTCTCATGTCACCAAATATCTTTTCATACTGTTTAACAGACTTTGAGCTTTTATGGACCTCTTTGCCCTCTTCACCTCAATTTGTAAGGCTATTTCTCATAGTATCAGTGTATTTCTCACCTAGACATATTTTTGTAATCTATTATGAACATCTGTAACTGTAGTTGGATTCGTTAATTAATAATCAAAACGTAGTATTGGGCTTAAAGATCCTGGGGTTTGGCGGGTTGCTCTCTTAACCTGGACCCCGGGGGTCCACGGGGCTTTGAGGCAAAGTAGGGACCCTCCTCTTTCCAGTCCTTTGGTGACCCTCTTAACCTCTCCATCTCTCAGCGTCTCCTAGCCAAAATTTAGTGAGGGTTGTATTTGAGTTTTGGCTTGATTGTTCCGGTGGTTTCAAGACCTGAATATTCAGATCAGAGATTGGGAATTTTTTATTTGTGGGGGGTTCTCGTAATCCTCACGTACACCTCATGAACAATGGTCTTGTTGGCTGGTGGATTATGAGAGTTGTATCCCTCCCTCACAAGTAATGATACCAATCAATTCTGATGACTTAAGCTCAATACCACAATTTGCCTTCCTTCCTGTTTTTTCTAGTAAGTAATTTTTGAAGGAGAAAGAAAGAGGCTGAAGCACACATAATACAGGCAGGTAGAGATATATGTTTATTCACACAGAGACCCAAGAAGACATGCAGAAATAATTTAGACAGACTTTTTCAAGATCCTGTGTTTTACCCCAATCCTGCTGCTGATTTAACGGTTCTTGTTTTTGTCCAAAGCTGACTTTGTAGGCAGCATTTTCTCACGTCTTTTCTTCTGATTTTACACAAGGCAACAGTTATGGGCTTATAAAGAGGTGGAATGCAAATAAATGGATAATGCAGGCTGGAGGGTCAAGGTTGCAGCGACTCCCAGCTTTATCTGCATCGGATTAGCTCTCCATGCTGAATGTTGTAGTGCCTGCTTGCTACTGAGCAGAGGTACACAAATGGGCCTTGAATTTACACCAGGTCTGGGGAGGCTAACGTATTATCCCAGAATAACACACACACGTCTTGATAGCAATATCAGTACGTATAGTAAAAGTACATATGATGGGTTTGAACCAGAGACACCATTCTGTCTGCATCCAACTCCATTCACTTCAGTTGCTTTGTATGTTTTGTTCATAGAATGTGTATTTGGGGGGGAGAGAGAGATGAAATGAAGCCGATCCATAGGCTATGGGCAAAGCCAAGGAGATGTCTCACTGTAGTGTATCCTCCATGGTCATAACTGGGCGATACGCCTGGTTCAAAGAGTCAACAGCCATACACAGCTGTCCTCCCTTCCCCAGCCTTGATCTCTGCCAGTAAACAGGAATAAAGCGTAACAAAAAAATAAAGGGCTTTCGTCTGCGCTCCTGACCAGTGGCTGTTGGTTGGCACAAGACGCTGTTTGTCTAGCTTACAGATGTGTCTTCCCTGGTGCAAAGTGAGAGGAGCATTCACTGCTGGGGCCTTTACAAGACATCCTCTCTGCAAATAAATCAATGAAGAAGTAAGAAAGGACTGCTTGTCTGGGCATCCAGCTTTCTCACACATTGGTCTCTAAGACATCTTTCTCTTCTCAAATCGTGCATTCAGTCTGAAAGCCAGCCCTTTCCCTCAGGGTAGATGGTTCAGTGACTTATGCATCTGGCTGCAGGGCCAGAGGTTGAGAGTTCAATTCCCCTTTGTGCCTCCGGCAAGGGGAGCCAGCCTGTAGAGCCTTGGGCAAGCTGCACAATCCCAAGGCATCCCCCCCCCCAGACTAGAGGAGTAGTAAAATACTTCTTCATAGTATGTACCGGGGAACCCTGGATAAGGTCACCATAAGTCAGTGCTGACTTGGAGGCATGTGATTATTATTATCATTATTTAGATGAGAAGAGCATGTGCAGCTGAATTTGGAACTCCCAAAATGTTAACAGTTCAGAGTATGAAGGAAAACAATAGGTTTATTGTGGCTTTATCTATTCATGCACACTCACTATATGTAGAACTCTTCGTTCTTATCCCTACTGTCTTCCTTTCCCAGTTTTGCTGCCTTCCTTCACAGGGGGGTCTTTCCATGCATGCTGGGATCCTGATTTTCCAGGATCTCAACTCACATGGCAGAGAACCCATCGGGGTAGTGGAATTCTTCCTGTGCAGATTTGTCACCCTCCACGTGTAGGAAGGTGACAGTGGAGGAGGGCAAGACTATAGCGCTCCCCTCTATGTGTGGTGAGTATGGATGATTAGACAATACAGTATATGAGTTGTAGCCTTTCCTTTCCTTTCATTAGTACTCATCCAGAACCCGACGAACCCTAGTCTCGGAGCTACCTCTTAACTCTTGAGAGCTGGTGTAGTGCAATGGATAGACTGTCAAGACACCTTGGTGTAAATGCCTGTGTGGTCTTGAAAATTCACATGATAACGATAAACCGTTCTATGAACATTTCATGTACAGTCGTGCCTCGCTTTATGATTGCCCTGCATTACGACAGAAGCGCATTACGATGGGGTTTTTTTGCTTTGCGATGATGGGTTCCGTGCTTCGGGAACCGATTCTTTGCAAAACGCCGATTTTAAAACGGCTGATTGGCGGTTTCAAAATGGCCGCCGGGTAAACCAATTTTAAAACAGCTGATGGCGATTTCAAAATGGACGCCGGGTAACCAAAATAGCTCCCCAATGTTTTCTGGGATGGATTCCTCGCAAGACAGGCAGCAAAAACGGCTGCCCTATGGAGGATCTTCGCTGGATGGTGAGTTTTGAGCCCATTGGAACGCATTGAAGGGGTTTCAATGCGTTTCAGTGTTTTTTTTTACTTTACGATGTTTTCGCTTAACTGCGATTTTCCTGGAACGGATTATCATCGTTAAGCGAGGCACCCCTGTACCTTGAGAACTCCGTAAGCGTTGCCTTACTCCGGAGTGCCTTGACAGTGCATAACAAACAATACCTTTACCTTTCACCTTTGGGGTTCTACTTTTGAAGGGCTAAAAGAAAGTTGGGGAAACTCAGCCTGCAAAATTATGTTTGGAGGGACTGCACCCTGGTCGTAATAGTACAAGGAGTGCTCTGCATCACCATTCCATCTACTAGCATTCAATGAATTTAATGGATTTCCTTTAGTTGGGACTAAGAATTGGATTTATTCCACAGTATCGATTTGCATGTAGTGCAGATATGCAATTGCATTTATATGCACCCAACCTTAATGGGGAAATAGTGCCTGCGGGTGCCCATTATGGTGAAAGTGTCCTGTAATGTCCGTTCCTATAAACTATCTGTTCCTTTTGTTTTAGGATGTTTAAACAACCTTTATATTAAAGGAATTCTGCCTATCACAGAATTTCTCAATGCTGTGGAGCTGGACGGGTCTCTTTCTCCCCCCCCCCCACCAAACCAGCTCTTTAAAACTCCAGGCACGTTTAACCACAAAACGAAAAACCCGACCTTCCAGCGCAAGCTTTAAAACCTTTGTCAGGCAGAAACTACATTTCCCCAGCAAGCCGCCTATAATTGTCGGCGCTGGAAAAGCCCGGCCACCGCTTGGCCCAGTGGGCTAACAGCTTGCAGCCCGTCCCTTTTCAGATTTCTGTCTTGCATTTTACTGTCTTTTTATTTTGTCTTCCTGGCCGCAGCGTAGCGCCTCGGGCTAGCAAGAGAGGTTTCTTGTTAAGAGGAGACTCTGAGGTTTTGACTAGCATGTCTGATCCAGAAAAGAGACCTTGTTCCGCCAAGATGAGGGCTGCATAATTTTGTTGCCTTAAGGGGGAACGGAGTCTTTTTTTATTATTTCCCCCCCTCTCTCCTTCCTTTCCCCGCTGTGCTAAACTGTCACAGTAAATCATTTTAAAAACTAGAAATGCAAAACCTCCAGAGATAGGGCATGCTGCTTCAAAAAACGGATACCTTATTATTTCAAGAAGGACTTGGGGGCATGGGAGGGTTTGGAAATGGATGGTTCCTTCACCTGGCTCCCGGCAGCAAAATGGAAATGAACGCTGGCCAAGCGGCTCTCAACATGCTCAGCGCTGGGGGAACCTTCCTGTTTTGTCTAGGGAAAAGAGGGCAGGAGTCAAGGGGCCCTGGCTTCACCCCAGCTGCTCCCTGCGGTTTGACCCTCTTGCATCTGCGTCGCCTGCCTTCCTCTCCCGCTTCTTCCTGTGGCCTTCCTTCAAGGCATGGAATCCGTCAGAGAAGTGAAATGTTTTATGAGACAACCAGTAGCTGGCGATGGCTAATTAGGTTTTCTTTGGTCCAGAAGTGGGTGGCTCTCGCTGGATCTCAGTTACAGAAAGGAAAAGTCACCCAAAGAATCAAACAAAAATACAGGTAGTGTCTTGCCAATTAGCAGCTGTTTTAAGTGCTTCATCAGAAAGTAAAAAAAAAGGCTTAAGTAGGATCCGTGGCTTTCTGGCATGACTTGTAACTGTGCCACTACCATGCCAGCTCTGATTGCGACATATTCACGAAAGAAATGGGTGGGTAGGATTGGCGAGGCTCTTTTACATGGGAGCTAGTAAGAGGCAGTGTGGTGCAGTGGCTAGTATTGGATTTGGACAGCCGGAGTGCTGCGAATCTTTTTGAAGGTGACCTTCAGCTGGGCACAACTGCTCGGTGTGACCCACGTCAGGAGGTTGCGGTGGTGAGGAT